GAGAGAGAGAGAGAGAGAGAGAGAGAGAGAGAGAGAGAGAGAGAGAGAGAGAGAGAAAGAACAGGTAAGTCTCTAACCTCGCGGCTGGCCTCACACTACTTCCATCGATAGGATGAGCAAAATCGAATGAATCTTCCGCAAGTGCAAGGAACATGAGTATGGACGAAGCACAGAAATCCAAATTGCAAAATCACACTGAAGTCCAAGTAGTCAAAGCAAGAGCACATAGCACAATGGAACCGAGTAACCATCCATTTGGGAATGATACAGAAGAATCGTGAGTCAATGTCCAAGCCCAATCGGGCAACACCAACAACATAACCCAATGTAGCTCTCTCTCTTGAATGGCGCCAGGCGCCCTACCTACTCTACAACCTATCACTGCAACTACAGCATGGAAGCAACCAGACAACTTGACGACCAGCGAGTGATGATGTCAACACCAATGCCGACCTCCTCTTCACCAGGTACGTCTCTCTCTTCACCCTCACTCTCCCTTGTTATCCCACACAGCGCCCTTCACCTCCGAAGAACTACCTTCGCCCTTCACCTCCTCTGCGCCCACAGGCAGCCCGACTATGGCTGCCAACGCCCTGCGCCTAGGCTGCGCTCTACCGCTAGCGCCAGCCTGCCTTCATCCAGCCTAGCGCAGTGCAGCACACTCGCAAACGCAGCAGCGTGCCGGCCTTGCTCGCAATGGCCAAGATCCCTGCCCACTCGCCCTCTCTGCCTATATGCCAGTGTTGCGTGTGGGCGGCCTCCCTTGAGCCTGCGCCTGGGCCCCAGTACCTGTACCCAGGCCGAATGCGGTTGGGGCCCRCGCAGTACAGTTGTGCCTCTTTCATCCAGGCCTGTGTCCAGATTCAGATAGTGGACCGATATCCCATTGGCATTTTCGACGTCTATTTCCAGTATGCAATGTCGGCCTCACGTTTATGTGCCCAGGGCCTAACCAACTGAGATGGGCCCTGGTCCTTCTGCAATTTGCAGAGATCCGGTACTCGGTGCACTCCAACCAACTGGCGTGCGGCAACTGTATGGACCCCACTTCGTGAAATGTTTGAACAGAGGGCTCTCGTTGATTTGCTGGCCCGCCTTCACTTAGGGCAGGCACGATGCTTGCTGGGGGCCTTGGCCCAGAACATGTACACCACGGCAAGGCCCCTTTGAGGGCTCAATCCTCACATTCCATCCCCCTTAGCTTCGAAAGTCCGCTGAGATGCTTACTTTGCAGGTGCCTTCCCTTTTAACATTCTCTCATATGCTGCCACCACTTGAGGAGCTGTGTCAATCAGTTCCTCTATGGTGAACCACCGATCTTCTTTTGGACCCGTATGATGCCTGGATCTGACGTGATATTCTCTCTTGGGTTTGGGAGGTCTTCCTCGACCCAACGGCTTTGGAACAGGCAAGTCTCTATGATCCACAATGTCGTCGATGTCCACTAGGCCATCCATGGTTGGGGGCAGCATCGATCTCCTTGAAGGGACTTGGTCTGTCTCAGCAAAAGGTGCAAGCTCAGCGGACTTTCGAAGCTAAGGGGGATGGAATGTGAGGATTGAGCCCTCAAAGGGGCCTTGCCGTGGTGTACATGTTCTGGGTGAGCAGATAGCATCTCCTTGAAAGACTGGGTGAGTGCGTAGGTGACCAGGGATGCGGATAACATAGATAGGACCATCCATCTCATCCCCAACTATATCCAAGACTTCCCAGGGACCAAAATACTGAGGCATTAGTTTACGAGAGATTCCGAATTCCTGTCCTAGCTCACTAGCCTTGACCCAGACACGTTCCCCTACCTGAAATGAGGACTGTCGACGATGTTTGTTCTCAGAAGCAATCATTGCGTGCTGAGCTTTCTTGATGTGCTCGACAACTTGCTGCAACAACTTCTCATACTGCACACCATACTCAAGTGTGCCTGGAGTTGCTGAGGGTCGGTTTTCAGGTAGGAGGAAGTCCAGAGCTGATCTAGGCTTCCATCCCAAGTGCAGTTGATTAGGACTAACGCCGGTACTGCTGTGTACAGCGGTGTTGTACAGGCTGGCGATGAGAGGCAACTTCTCATCCCAATCATCCTGACTGGGCTTGATGTAATGCCTTAGCAGGTGTTGTACAACTCTGTTCATTTGCTCGGCCTGTCCGTTGGCTTCGGGATGATTCCCTGAAGTCATCTGAAGTTGACTGCCCATCTGTTCACCAATCTTCTTCCACAACTCACTTGTGAAGCGGACATCTCTGTCACTAACGATTGACTTCTGTAGTCCAAAATCATGCACCCAGTTTTTCAGAAACAACTTGATGACGTGTTCAGTCCTTGCGGTCTCTGGCATGGCAATTAGTCGAGCGTACTTGGTGAATCTATCTATGATGACAAAGATGTGCCTCTTGCCACTCTTACTGGTCACCAGGGTGTCCATGAAGTCCATGGAAACACTCTGTCCCGGACCAGCGGGGATAGGTAAAGGCTTCAGCAACCCAAGCGGTGCTTGAGTTCGCGGCTTATCCTGCTGACAGACCTGACAGGTCTCAACATACTTCTTTGCATCTTCTAGCATTCCGGACCACCAAAATCGCTGTACTAGATTGGCACTCGTCTTTTTGTAGCCAAAGTGACCGGTTGCGTCATGACATTTTCCTAAGAATAAACTACCCAAATGTTCACTAGATGGAACAACTAACCTTTTAAATCCAGCCTTATCAAGAAAGAGAAGCCCGTCCACCATCACAAACTCATCTTCTGTGGCCTTGTCTCTTGCCTGAAGCTTGCGTATGATGTCCATCGTGACAGCGTCTTCCTGATAGGCTCCCACCAGCGATTGAGTTAGTTCCTCAGATACACCAAACTCAGAAACTAGCGTCCCTAAGTAATCTGCTCTACGGGACAACGCATCTGCAACCTTGTTGTACTCTCCCTTTAGATACTTTAGCTTGAAGTCGTACTGATCTATGACCTCAATCCAGCGCTTGCGTGCATCAGAAAGAGCTGGTTGAGTCTTGATCCATTTGAGGGTCTGATGGTCAGTTCTCAAGTAGAAAAACCGTCCCAACAGAAAGTGCCTCCAATGGACAAGTGCTTTGTAGAGAGCATAGAGTTCCCTTTCATAGGTGGACTTTGCCAGTTTCTTAGATGGCATCTTTTTGCTCATATACTCAATCGGTCTCAACTTTTTCCCATCCTGTTGAGCCAGCACTGCGCCAATGCCGTATTGGCTTGCGTCAGTGGTCTCTATGAATGGCTTCTGAGGATCGGGCACCATAAGAACTTCATGATTCATGAGTGCATGCTTCAATCGTTTGAAAGCAGCCTCGCACTCATCACTCCAGTCCCACGGCGTGTCAAGTCGAGTTAGATCAGTCAAAGGAGAGGCGACTGTGGAATAGTTCTTCACGAAATTTTTATAGTAGCCGCACATTCCTAAGAAAGATCTGACCGCAGTAACAGTCTGAGGTCGTGGCCAGTCCCTTATACTAGCCACCTTCGCATCTTCCGGCCAAATACCTTCCGCGGATACTTCATGACCCAAGTATAAGATCTTAGTGCGTCCAAACTCACATTTCTCTAGGTTGACCTTGTACTTGTGCTGTCGCAGGAGTGAAAGTACAGTCTCAACGTGCTCTGCATGCTCCTCGTCAGACTTACTAAAGATAAGAATATCGTCAAGATAGACAACGACAAACTTATGTAAGTGGTCATGGAAGATCCTATTCATGGCGTGCTGGAATGTACCCGGCGCATCGCAAAGGCTAAAGGGCATCACTACAAACTCATACAGTCTTGAAGCAGTCTTGTGTTGATCCTCAGGTCTTATTGCGATCTGATGGTAGCCGGATTTTAAGTCTATCTTGCTATAGTACTTACATCCCTGCACCCTATCCAGTAGGTCGTCTATGCGAGGTAGAGGCTCCGCTTTTTTCACTGTGATGGCATTGAGGCCTCTATAATCAATGCACATCCTCAATGTACCCCCCTTTTTCGGTACGAATAACACTGGAGATCCGAAGGGGGAAGTACTCGGCCGGATCCATCCCTTTTCTGTTAGCACTTTCAGTTGTCGCCGGAGTTCATCCAACTCGGCCGGAGCCATCCTATAGATCCTTCCCTTCGGGGTTTTACTCCCTGGAATGATTTCTATGGCATGGACAACCTCCCTCTCTACGACTCCTGTAGGCTCCTCAAACAGATCAGGGAACTTAGCAACGACGTGTTCTATCTCTGGGGGTGTTTTAACGACCGCCCCTTTCTCAGAGATATACACTAGGTACATACCGTCCTCTTGGTTCTGTTTATAGTAGTTATAGAATGCTGATGCACACAAGCAGCCATAGGTATCGATTATACCACTGGCTTTAAACTTAGTCAGCCTCACTGTTCTTCCATCAGGCAACTTATGCTTTAGCACCTTCTTGTCCCAGTCAAACTGGGGCTTGACAACCTCAAGGTAGTACATCCCTAACAACATATCGAATGTAAGTCGTCGCTAATCAGGAACAAAATCTTATGATTAAGTTCCCCTCCTCCATAGGAGAAGGTACAGACTACATCCTTGATGTAGTCTGTGACAACCATGCGCTCCTTATTGGCCAAAGTAGATGCTACCGGTCTACTAAGGTGTTGTACCCGGTCCTGTAGGTGCAACCTTTCCAAGCAGTCGCGACTTATGTAGTTCCGAGTGGAGCCGATGTCTATGAAGGCACCACATTTGCGTCCTCCTACATCAATTTCCACAACGAAATGTTCCCCTCTAGGACCTTTTCTTAGCGCCACCCAAGATTCATGAGGGTCCTTACTTGACCACTCACTTTCCAAATCTTCTAAGGCTTCAGACACATCCAACGTACAGAGCATGGTTTGGTCTGGATGAGTCTGCAGGGTGACTAAAAAGTCATTAGCTATGGCCTGCTCATGAAGTGGGGAGGGTATCTGGCCCACTTCACCATGAGTAGAAGCAGCTAAAACTTCCACCGACCTCACATGTTTCCCGAGCTAGATGCCTGGGAAGAAGGTACCCCTACCTTAGGCGGTATCTTCTGCATGACCTTGGCGTTCTTGCACTTGTACTGGGTGTGACCATACTCACCACAGTTGATGCATGCACCACGCACTCTTCGATCCCGCCACACATCTTGATCAAGACCTGCCTTGACCCAATCAGCAACTTTGGTCTGATTGGAGGCGGCCTGCCCTTGACTCTTTTGATGGCCCTTCCCTCGGCCACCTGCCTTAGTCCTTACTACTGCGGCGAGGGTGCTACCCTCAACGATCTCCTCGCCGTTGTACTCTGAACTGTCCAACAGGTCTGTGAGTTCCTCGATCTCAGTTTGAGTTCCATCGGACTCAACCATCATCAATTTACTCCCCTTCTTCTTCCATTCCTGTGGACTCTTCTTCTTCTCCCGTCTACTGGAGTAGTAGGTTGAGCACTTCCTAGAGTAGCCTCTAAATCTAGGGCCTGTCTAGAGAAGGACTCAAAAGTGTGATACTCGAGGCGTGCCTTGCTGGCCAACTGTGTTCTGAGATTCTCTGGGAGACATCTCACGAACATGGTCAATAAGACCTGGTCATCATAGGGAATGCCCGGGACTACGATGAGATTCTCCACGGTAGTCGTAAGCTCCCTAACGGACTTGTCCTGTCGCTGGTCTAGTCTTATTATGGCGTCAGTGGCAATCTGTGCCTGCTGCGGATTATGCCAGCGAGCTTCTACCATGTCTATGAACTCATCTAACGTCATGGTCTTAGCCCAATTTGCCATGCGTCTTCCAAACCCAGCTTTCGCTATAATCCCGTCTAGCCATTTGGCTGCCTTACCCTCAAGATAAGATGCAACAGTAATCACTTCCTCCTCTTGCAAAGTCCTCTTTGCCCTTACCCACATTGGAACCGTTCTCAACCATGTGTTGAGCTCCTCATCCTTCTTTTCACCAGAGAAGGCGACAGGTGGTTTCATTGGGGTCTTTGGGTACCATGGGCCTTGCTGCTGTCCCTGTGGTGGAACAGGTTGCTGTTGCGGTGGTGGAGTAGCTGCCACCGCAGGACCGAAAGAAGTAGAAGCAACAGTCTGAGACGCTGCTGCTGACGAACCGCTTGGTTGTGTGCCAGCATGGGGGTAGGTGCCTATCATCGCCGACATAGGGAGCGACGATCTTGCAACTGCTGGCAGCCTTGGTCCTAGCTGTTGCAACTGAGTCAATATCTGATCCAGAGTGTCCTGTATGAAGTCCATCCTACTGTCTACATGTGCATGCACATGGTCGTTCATTGTTGACTCATCCATTGCCTCTAGTGCAGTTTTGTCGGCCTCTACCGTTTCCAATCTGACTGTCCTATCTCTAATCTCCTTTTCTCTATCAGCAGCTTCCTTAGTTCCCTCTCTAACCTAGTGCGAATCCTTTCAACTTGCTGGAGTTCCCTCAACTCCCGCTGGCGTGGGTTCATTGGGCTTAACTGCGAGCCCGCCATTTGACTAGTGGAGTGACTAGAACCTGCGACACTGGAACTACCCGTGGACCCAGTGGGCATGCCCAACTGAGTGGCAGACGAGGTGGCACCATTGGTTGCTGCCGTGGAAGCCATTGCTGCTGCCGCAGCTTGCCTTGCTGCTGCGTTAGCTGCTGCTAACTCTTGTGCAACAGCTGTTGCTGTCCTCACGCTCGCTGCTCGAGCACGGGCTATAGCTTCGGCCCTAAGCCGTCTCTCTGTCTCGGTGTCCAGGTACTGAAACACGTACGGGATCCTACGTGATCTCGATCGTGTTACTCTACCATCGTCAACTCTACCCTCAGCGCTGTCYGATTCACTCATGAGCTATGCATACACTGTCTGCACTAGAACTTTCTAGTGAAGTCCTACCACAGCATATGTTTGACCGACACTTAATTCTGAAAATAGTTTGTGTCCGGCAGGAAACCAAATGCTACCATTTCAAGCGGTCGTCAACAATATTATCACTGACTGTACACATAATCTAATCCTACCATTGATTAGTTCACTTACAGCAGCTTGAGATAGAACTAGCTATGCTAGTATACAATGGTCCTACTCTAAGCTGTCTGTGAGGTGTTAGCAGTCTGTCCACCAACTAATCAAAGAATAAAATTAAATCATGTTGCAGATGTATGCATGGTGGAAATGGTTGTGTTTACAGTTGAGCACCAATTAGAACCTACCCTCCCCTCAATCCAACATACTGAAAAGCATCTTTGAGCAGCAGTGTCTTCGTGTGTAATGTCGGCCCACCCCTGCGCCCCAAGTCATTGCCGAGCAAGCCAGCCCATCCACTCTTATTTACCCTCGTACGGAACGAGCCTTACGACCCGGATTGATCTGGCTGATCAGGAGGGATTTAAGGAGAGCCCCCATCTCCTCAGGAATTATTTAACGTCGAAGACGGGACGACGATCACAGCCAGTATCAACCGAGTCCCCAACCAGAAGTATTTATAGATGGTCTGGTAAGCGTCTCTTATGGGCTGGCACACCCGGCACGACTTCTATAGCGCAACAAAGTGCCAAAATGGACAAGCAGCCATCGCATGTGTGACCTACTCCCATTGGGTTGGCAGGTGACCGTGACCCAAATGCTTCGACCAGGGCCCTTCAGAGGCACCGCCCTTTCTCCTTCCAGATGCTTTCGGGAAGATTGTCGTCTCTCAAGGTAGCGCGCACACGACACCTCACCAAAAGAGAGGACTCTCAAGTTGGACTCACTTCCTCGCGGTAAGAAGAGATTGAGAGAGTAGATAAGGTAAAAGAAAAACGTACCTGGAGATAGCTGCCCCCAACCACAGATTTCTCACCAATTGAGGTGAGTGTGCATTTGATGACCGGTCGTAGCCTCGGTACCACCCACAACGCAATGCAGTGCCACCTCAGCTTAATGCCACATCAGCATGCTCTCATCACCAGTCATACATTCCGCAGTAACCACGGCAACCCATGCCGCATAGCCTTCCGGCGCACACCTCTCTACCCAGGTCGTGCGCCTATTGTTGGCCTGACGTCACAAGAACCAACTGTGAAGAAGCATCATCAACGCACCAAGTCTGTATAACGCCAGCGCACCAAGGTAAGCGGGGAATCGAACCAGCTCTGATACCAAAATGCAAGGAACATGAGTATGGACGAAGCACAGAAATCCAAATTGCAAAATCACACTGAAGTCCAAGTAGTCAAAGCAAGAGCATAGCACAATGGAACTGAGTAACCATCCATTTGAGAACGATACAGAAGAATCGTGAGTCAATGCCCAAGCCCAATCGGGCAACACCAACAGCATAACCCAATGTAGCTCTCTCTCTTGAATGGCGCCAGGCACCCTACCTACTTTACAGCCTATCACTACAACTACAGCATGGAAGCAACCAGACAACTCGACGACCAGCGAGTGATGATGTCAACACCAATGCCGACCTCCTCTCCACCAGGTACGTCTCTCTCTTCACCCTCACTCTCCCTTGTTATCCCACACAGCGCCCTTCACCTCCGAAGAACCACCTTCGCCCTTCACCTCCTCTGCGCCCACAGGCAGCCCGGCTATGGCCGCCAGCGCCCTGCGCCCAGGCTGCGCTCTACCGCTAGCGCCAGCCTGCCTTCACCCAGCCTAGCGCAGCGCAGCACACTCGCAAATGCAGCAGCGTGCCGGCCTTGCTCGCAATGGCCAAGATCCCTGCCCACTCGCCCTCTCTGCCTATATGCCAGTGTTGCGTGTGGGCGGCCTCCCTTGAGCCTGCGCCTGGGCCCCAGTACCTGTACCCAGGCCSAATGCGGTTGGGGCCCRCGCAGTACAGTTGTGCCTCTTTCATCCAGGCCTGTGTCCAGATTCAGATAGTGGACCGATATCCCATTGGCATTTTCGACGTCTATTTCCAGTATGCAATGTCGGCCTCACGTTTATGTGCCCAGGGCCTAACCAACTGAGATGGGCCCTGGTCCTTCTGCAATTTGCAGAGATCCGRTACTCGGTGCACTCCAACCAACTGGCGTGCGGCAACTGTATGGACCCCACTTCGTGAAATGTTTGAACAGAGGGCTCTCGTTGATTTGCTGGCCCGCCTTCACTTAGGGCGGGCACGGTGCTTGCTGGGGGCCTTGGCCCAGAACATGTACACCATGGCAAGGCCCCTTTGAGGGCTCAATCCTCACACAAGAATAGAACATGGAAATTTACACTGCCACGCTTGTAGATTCAGTCCACAAACCCGCTGCCAAAAGAGACCCCGGTCATAAAGCCGCACCAACGGCAGCCTTCCGCCCGAGTGTTCCACACAATGGTTGCACAATCGCGCCGCCCAAACTCCATTCACACAGGCCTGAACCAACCTCGGTCCAAACAGTCGCCACCAGACTCAAAAAAAAAATCACAGAAAAACAATATTTGAATACTCTCCGCCAGACTCGAAACGATAGTCGGGCGCAAAAAAAAGAACCGTGGAAAATGATGTTCGAACACTCGCCGCTAAACTGGAAACAAAAGTCGGGCGCCGCGAAAATGAGGCTTGGCCCGAACAGACCTGTGCCCAACTGGGATCGGGGTCTCTTGTGGGAAGTGTCACGCTTTAAGAGTATAGGGAAAGAATATAGGGATAGGGATAGGGAAGGTATAGGGATAGGGATAGGGAAGGTATAGGTATAGGGATAGGGATAGGGATAGCGATTATTATTGTTTTTGGGTTTGCTCAGTTTGTCTTCTCCCTGGCATGCTTCCCAGATGTGCGGTGTCTCTCGAGCTGGGCGCAGGGTGCAGGGTACCACAGCCCAGGCCATACAGCATCACCCACGTAGCACCACGCAGTCCACACAGGATTACATACCTACCCTGTGTGCACCCCATATAGCATTATCTACCTACCCTGCATTGTACAGCCGAGCCCACATAGTTCGCAGCCCTGAAGGCTGTGGTATAGCAGGGTGCGATGTCTGTACCCAAGGCTGGTCTTTTTTTTGCTCCGACAACTGGCGGAACTGGATTTTAGAGGTGGTCAATGACTTGGGACCAGCAGCTGTTGCCAGTTGGTTTTGTATGGTCATTGGGGTCTAGAGGGGTGGTCAATGACTTGGGACCAGCAGCTGTTGGTTTTGTATGGTCATTGTGCTTTTGACCACATAGATTGAAGGACCGGTCCATTCGGACGGCCTGGTGGCGCAAAGTACTTTGATGGACTTATGCATTTAGTTTGGTCGGAATGCTTTTTCACAGGGGAAATGATTTTTCTTTTGTTCCCCCGCTCATGCAGCAGAGCCTAAACTACATCCCTGTTTTTTTTGGGAATTTTTGTTGGCTTGCCGGAGATCAGAACTAAAAATTGCCAAAGTTGGGGTACTCAGCATTCTGGGCTCTCCCCCTTCGCCTGACAGCTCTCTCTCTCTCTCTCTCTCTCTCTCTCTCTCTCTCTCTCTCTCTCTCTCTCTCTCCAAACTGCCATGCTAGCAACAAGCTGCATGCAACAAGGGTACCCTTCCCATATCTTTGATGGACAAACATAAATTTACATCCACTTTTTAGACACAAAACACCGAAGGAAAACAGAGGTGCTTAGGGCGGCCCCGGGGTCTAGCATGTGTGTATGTGTGAGGCTAGGCAAGAATCACAGGCACATGTCGAATGTGGGGTGTTAGGTAATGTTGGCAGGAGGGTAATGATGTGAGTAATGGGCGGGAGAAACAAACGAGATCAGGTGAGATGAGTTGAGATTTGGCATTGCAGCGAGGTGGCGTGATAGTTGTGTTATCCTGTGGGAGTGGGTTGATGTGTCTGTGTGTGCATATGTGAGAGAGAGAGAGAGAGAGAGAGAGAGAGAGAGAGAGAGAGAGAGAGAGAGAGAGAGAGAGAGAGAGAGAGAGAGAGAGANGAGAGAGAGAGAGAGAGAGAGAGAGAGAGAGAGAGAGAGAGAGAGAGAGCACTATGGTTGCACAAGCAATCTTGAAGAAAAAGCCTTCATCAACCCACGCAGCGTGCAGGCTTGCCAACGTACCTCGCAGTGCCGGCGCCAATTGCCTTCCAGCGGTATGCCCCTTTGTGAAAAGAAATGAGCTGCTGCAGTGCGAGAGTCCTGCTTGGGACAGAAGCCCACTATACTATACCGCAGCCATAGGACTGTGAATACTGCAGCCTTAGGGATGCGCAGTACAACCGCAGCCTTAGGGCTGCAAATTGGAGGGATGGCACAGCCTTAGGGCTGTGAAGCTGGAGTGATGTGGTCTGATGTAAAGAAAAGAAGAAGCGAGTCTGAGTTATGGTTGGGTGTTCTGGGAGTTATGTCCAGTTGTCGGTGATTTGGGTTAACGGCATGTGTGGGTGGGTGGGTGTGAGAGAGGGCCAACAGGGGAGGGATGCAACGGGAACTGGGAAAGAGGAGCAGCAGGCATTCAGTGATAAATGGGGGGAGGAGGATCCTGGTGGAGGAGGACATGAAGGACATAAATAAAAATAAGGAGGAAGAATGAGGACAAGGTGGA